CTGTCGACGCTTTTCTCCACAGAAAGGTCGTGGCAACAGCCGCGGGATTTGGAAAAAAACATATCTAAAAATCTGTCATATGCATATATATATATATATGAATGTTTCCCTCGTTAAATATACCTGTGAATGTCAAAGGCATTAACTTACGAAACAAGTTTGTCAATGGCTAAATCACTTAATTTCTTGCTTTATCTTTATTAAAATTGAAGAAGGACAATTCAGGGCAGGGGAACGTGTTACACAGATAACCACAACAGGAAAACTTAACTAGAAGCAAAAACTAATTGGTAAAGTTAAATATGCGCCAGCTAGAGTACTCGCCGTATACGCACAAGCACGAGTATTAGCCGCGTGATCATCGCTAACAGTTGAAAATAATAGGTCCAACAAGGTCCACATATCTATAATAACTTGCGAGAACTTTATATAAATGAAATAACAATAATGCTATCATATACGACAGATTTGACATTTATTCATAGTGTTTTAGAAACAGTCAAATAATAAGTTTATTGAGAAGAAGCCATTTTAGGGTGAGGCTAAGCGACGAGAGAGAGCTGATTGTACGGGCGTTGAAGAATACGCGAGCGACTCGAACTAGATACATTCTTGAAAAGCTCGTCAATGGCCTTGTAAATAAAAAGTACACTATCTGTTAGTTGAATGTGAAGAACGAAGTAAAGATTACATTATTTGAAATAAATATTGATGCTAGCTCAACTTAGTAAAAACACGGTTGAAAAATGTATCTTCTTAGATAGCGGTGCTATAGCAGTATTCCGGTCAGCATCAATGTTTCGATCGACTGTGAGCATTCTGAAGTTGCAGTGTCCTGCAGTGACTGGTTTTCTTCGTGTATAAAAACGTGTTTATGTTTTTAAGCATAGTCTAAGGAGCGTCTAGGGTCAGGCTCCAGTATGATCTAATCGAGATCTACATTCGAATCTATAGGACAACCTATAACTATATATACACGATGCAGGCCTAAGGGCCCACCCAAATTCACAAATACCCATGATACCTCCGGTATGGCGTAAGCCTACAATGTGTGGCTCATTATTCAACCTATTATCAATGATTACGTCCAGGAAACGAGCCCTGGCCGATTCATAATAATCGTGGGTTCATCACAAGTATAGAAAGCGTCAGTTCTAATAGAAGCAGAATTGGTAATGAAGAGAAGAGGCAGATAAGTTGACTTTGATTTATAAATTGGAGGACAATTAAGGTAAAGCCAGTCAGAAATTAAGATAAGGTTCGCGTGCTTCTTATTGGATAACCCACCGAAGATTGGCGTGGCTTACATAGCGATAGGCGTCGCCGGCGTAAATAATTTTTTAGTGGTAACAAACGTCAATGATATCACTATAAACACAGAAAACAGGCTTGGTCCCAGCAAGCCATAGGTCACAGACGGTTTACAAAAAAAAACAATAGACGTTACGTTTCTGTGGGGTGTACGTAGACGGCATAAACTAATTAAACTTTATTGGAAGGTCTAGTGAAGTTTCAAAAGGGCATTAGTCAACGTCAGTAGGGATGCGTGGAGCATCAGACGGTTGCTTAATAGATAACGTTGTTATAAAGTACGTTGATTTCTAATTAAGATATGAAATTGGCGAACTTTTTTAACAACTCTACCAACTTGGGAAAATGATCATTATAGAACGCCAGCTACCACAAGCTTGATTGCTATTTTTCCTCAGAATAATTATTACTTTGAGGGTGTCAGGAAACACTGTGTGCTTAATACAATGGTTAATTAGGGCAGACCTTGAGATAGAAAGAAGGTGAACGACAGTACGCACCGCAGAGGCCTCTATCTAATCGTTAGAAAGGGTAGCTGATTTTCTCTATCTAGATATTATAAAGTCTGTCTTTTTGAAGATACAAGACAAGAACGAAGAGTTCAGTGATGGTAGAATAAGCCTTATAGTAAAGTTATGTCATGTGGATTGCTGCCGACAAACATGTTTGTCAAGGAAGACGCACTATATACATATATACTAGAGATCTATTAGATTGGATCGAACCTTCTATTCATCCAAACTTGTACAGATAGTGTTTGCGAATCGTTGGATAAACGTTTTGTAATGCCAGCAATAACCTTAAACTCAAGCTAAGATACACTTTAGGTTATAAAGTGATGCGATCACTCTATCTTGGCCCAAATCAGCGCAGAGTTTTTATAGACTGTTGCATTTAAGCGAGTGACTAAGCCGCTTTTCGCTTTGAATTTCCTTAGCTACAACGAGTATGCAAGATAGAAGATCATGACAATCAGGCCGACTGAATTGTGGCATTTTCGTATATTTCGTAGGACAATAAGCGCAGACCCACATAATTTGTACGCGTAACTCGTCATTAAGTTGCGTCCGGTAAATTTTGATTCGGCACTACGAAAAGTCAACTGTATATCACCAGTGAGAGAAAAGGCAAACGAGGAAGTCGAAAGGGTGTGACCACCATTCCTCCATAGAGTTTACTACAGATCGACTTGTCTGCCCATTGTTTTGCATGCGTTTACCCTCGCCCCGGAACGAGGCCAGTCCCGCAACGGGAAATGTCCGACAAGAAAGACTCAAATAACAATACACTCCTAAAGACTTATATTTGTTTTTCGTTCTGTCATCGTTTATTACCGTGCCCAGTTAAGGGCGGAGCACGTCAGCTTTAAAGAGATACACAGCGTGTTGGAAAAACCATGGAACTCTGTGCGATCATTATCTTGGCAGCAACGACTCGGTCCAATACAGACGATGCGAAACATGAAATGTATTAGTAACAAAGATGTATGGATCTACATGCTTCATGGAAGGGTTAGATACTATAGAACGTTTCTATATATATAGGGTTCTTTGGGTCTTTGCTCTCCAGCATATGTATGCGTCCGCACTATTTGAATACGATGTGTTTAATAAATACATTGTCTTGGTAGAAATGTTCCGCATGTCTCCTGGAGTGCTTAAGATTTTCTCGCTAGTGCTTTTCTTCAGGATGCTATTCCTTTGTGCATGCTTACGGCACTGTGAACTAGTGAAAGCCCGTGTTTATGTTTTTTTTTTTTTGCTGTCCATAAACTTCACAGATATGGAATAAGATACATAAGATGGATTTAAGAAGATGCCTTTTCACTTGTCTTCGACGTTGTACCTTGATTTGATGACCACCCGAAGTTATACCTGTTTTGTGGTTTATATCGTAAGCGGGACTTCAAGTAGCGATCCTCGGCTTTTTTAATCATACGTCCACGCGAATTGCTCGCTAGTCGCTATTAAAATGTCCGCAACAATTTGTACTAGGTCGCAATGGGGATTGTTTTACTGGTGTTCCAGCGTGGCTGAAGCTACTCGACTTTAACGCGTTAACTTGAGCCAGGCGTTAACTTAGATATGTGCAACATATTAGCTCAGGATTAGTTACCGAATTTTAACTGTTTTGTAAGGATTTTTTGACCTAATTAGTTAGAAAACGGTCAAGTTTTTATAATCTTAAAATATGTGGTCTAGATGGTTTATTAATTAGACATGCGTAGAGTTCATTTCAAATAATTTATTCGTATAATTTCCACTATTCCGAGATTGAATTTGGATATATTGCCACCGACACTTAAATGAACACAAGAAATATGCTACAGGAACTTACTTTGTCGAAACGTTGCAAGCCTAAAACCGGTCCAGGTTATTAAGATTTGAATAATTAATAAGATATTCAATGTTATTTATATTATCAACCTCTTTCTACGAATTCAAAGTGAACAAATATCAAGATGCATTTGCTAATTCTACTGATAGCCCTACTACTTTTGCCCCCCAGCCTGTACGTACTACGTTGATGTACATAGTAGCTGCTAGTTCAAAATACTGCATTGGTACCCGTACTAAAAATCTATCAGTAGCTGGCGCATTTTGTCTATCGGCTGTAATAATGCAAGCAACGTACTATAAACCTGCATTGCCTATTATTAATAGAATCACCCGATACATTTTAAAACCGAAATATTTTAAGAACATACATTGTGCTTGTCCACTTCGAAAGATAATGGCTAATGTATTTTACAGACCCAACGTTCTAGACTTTGTCTAGAACTACTATGGGGCTATCACTCACTAAGTGCCGGATCTCGGACTTTTAATTTGTGCTACCGAACATCACTTCGACCAAACAGCCATCTTTACTAGAGGATGAAAGTAGTCCGCTTAGAAAAGGCATACTGTGGTAGATCCGTCTTATTAGATAGTTTGATATAGGATTTTTTAAGAAAACTAAAGTAAAATATACCAAAACGACAAGCAAATATGGTTTTTATAGACAATTCTAAATGCAGCGTCACCTGAAACACTTTCCCTGTTTGTCTGCTTGTACCGAAATCTCTTGTGTGCGCGAATCAAGTTAACTAGGCAGTCAACTTGAGAAAAAGACATTCACTTCGATCAAGTTAGCTGATTTTTTTTTTTTTTTGTATAATTCGTTAGGTACTGTATATGTTAGTATTGACGACGATTTAAAAACGATATAGATATCAGCTACAGATAACAAACGTATGTTCTAGCTTCTCAATTTCATAGAGACATAAATAACGCTTTGCCTCTCTCTTTACAACCGATCTTCACAGCAAAAATTTTAGCGTTCTTCCGCACAGAAACCAACATTTATCTTCTCGATAAGATAGGCTTCATGCCGATACGTCTGCACATGGTTTAGTAAACAATCAAGAGTTCCATTAGTGCAAAGTATTCCTTTCTTACCCGATGGCAATTTCCCCGCAGCACATCAATGACAGTAAGAACAGTCGAAGTTAGTCTAGAAACCAGCTATTGTAATTATGGTCAGGGCATAACCGATGCTATATCTCCACCTTGAGAACTTTCTGCTAGTTTGTACATTATATTTAAAGAGAACCTTTAGAAAAACCTACATTAGGTCCTTATACTCATCGGCCTCAAGTAGTCTAGCTATGATTTGTTATAATAAAACCGTCATGAGAAAGTACGAACCATTTCAGAAGGAGCAGCTGATGCACTTAAATAGCCGAACAATGTTAACTGGCATACTTTATGATATCGACACCTGCAGCCATCCACCGGAAGTCCAAACCCTCAAAACACCTCACGAAATTTTCAGAATGCAGATAATTTACTGAAAAAAAGGTAAAGCATATATTCTGTGTCAAAAAGGGTAGTTTCATTGACTCAGATTCGTCTGAACACAGCACTTGACGAGCTTTACCCATTAGCTGCTGCCCAGTTACATAATAGTAAGAACAATGACCCCGTGCAATCCTAATACATGGGTTCCCTCCAGCCCAGTTAAACGACCCTCCCTAGAGAGCAAGCGCTAGTTTCACTCCCATTTCTTTCATAATAAACAACAACGATTTACAATTTTTTTATGGAGCAACCCACGAGATGTTTCAATTTCGGATTGTAGATGACTACAGATAGTTGTATAAGGTCAGCTTATCATGCAACAATCATGCGCTGTACAGTATCAATTCGACGTTTTCGATAAAACTCAGTAATACATAATAAACAAATCGTTGGGTGCATTACGGGCAGAAATACAAATAGGTACGGTAACTTGTTATAGAGGAAGGCTTTTTCAAACCGACGAACCGGTAAGTATTATATCATTTTATTCCAATTATCTCTGATTATCTAGAGTGAGACAGAATTAGCAGCTGCTCATCATCTGTGTTGGCAGTGACAGTCTTGTATAGCAACGGGAGCATGAAACGAATTTTGAGATGACGTCACCGAGGTCCTCTTTCAGCCCTCGACATGTCTCGATGGTAGATAGACAAGTGTAATTTCTCGATGGTTAACTAGTCACAATAAGTCCTACGGTATTTTTGTTCAATCGAACTATTTGCCATAGCAATAGCTATTGCTTGACCCATATAAGCCCATTCTTGTTGAACAACTTTTCTAGGTAACATATAAGCTGTTTGACGTGTTCAACGACGTCCACCTGAAGTATTAACGGTGGCCATTTTAACCTTTCAGGAAGGTCAAGTACAGCCAAGCAGCAGACAGAGGGCCTATCACAGCTTTTTATAGGTCTAGTCAGCGATAGAAGTCAAAAAAAATGGTTACCACATCAGCTTTCAGATTGACACTGTATTGAATGAACACGATCGACCTTTTTTTTGGCCGTTTAAGGACGTACTTCCTCTTTCCAAAGGCGACAATCAGATCGAGTCTGGTGCTACTGCTGCCACTGCTGACAAATCGACTTAGTAGCGGCCACTCATTATCATACGTCGCAAGAGGGCGAATCGATTTTAATTTACTCTCTTAGGGTATCAACTATGAATACTGAAATAGTAAGATTTCGCGTCATTCCAAGTGTGCGTATCACTGTTGCCATTAACGTATAATGGATACGTCTAATTACGTGGGTTAGCAGATGTGCACGTATTTAAAGCGCAATTGGAGTGCGTACACCCTAATGATAACAAGTTACCCAACTTACTTCGTTCTGTTATAATCCCACCGCAGTCTTATTTTTTTTTTTGCTATACATCCTATGTATACAAACCGATAATTTATTGAAGAGATGGCGTAACGATGATGTGATGAAGTCTGTGTCATATAATGTGCAGTCCCGGTAGGTGGTGAAGGGCGTGCGTCCATGTGACTTTATCTGCTCGCGGATCATTGGCCAAGTTCACGATACTGGTATATGTATATTTTCAAATATGTCGATTCAGTCTGGCTGAACGGGTATCGGTGAACACTGAACTGCTATGGCTACTACGGGAATAATATGATCTAAGTTCTACTTTCAAAACTTCCCTCCAGACACTGTATAGTCTTAAAGTTTTTGAGCAGTTCTAACTACCACGAACTCGTATCGAGCCACCTAAAGGGTCCTTACGATTGCTCGGCCGAGCGCATGAAGACGCTCACGCTAACATCATCATGTGTTCGAAAAGTCAAACAGAAGCATAGCTTTACCAATGCTACTTGACATTTTGCAGGCATTGAAGCAAAGCCTTGTCAACTCACCCAGCCATCTCTCCGTGCACTAACTCGCTGGCGTATTTATTTACTTTGAGAGGAAGTGACCAAGCGGCTTGGCAACAGGTTTATGCCTTTACTATAACTGGCCCAAGGACAGCACAGGTAACGACGTTATGATCCGCGTCTCAACTAGCATAATATTCCTATACTCGTAGGTCGGCAGGCAAATCGTACGAAGAAAGCAACTGATGCATGTTTCATGATTCAGAGATTCGAGTATTCGAGAGCGTCCTTGATGATACGTAGGTATCTAAGCGACGATGTCCTAAACGACCAGCGACCTATAGCACAAGTGTTCATTGTGCTATGTTAGGTCGCCTAAAAATTATCGGCCGTCTGTCCAAGTAGATGGTTTTTCACGGTGCATTTGGATCGCGTTGGTGTCGTCTGATATCTGATAATAGTATAAGGGTTAAAAATCATTCTGTACAAATTTGTTATGTCTCTAAAGGCACAAATGGAGTTTAGGCCCATTAAAAAAATGGTAATGGTTATGATCGCAAAACAGGTTGACGTCTGGTTGCGACGCGAACGCAAAATCACTTACACGATCCCATTTCCACCTACGAAACTCCGCAGGAACGCAACGAAATCGTGTTAATTTTAAAGCGTTCGCTTAATGGTAATGCAAACTAAATTATCATGCGAGAATAATGGGCAAATCAAGAAAATTCCCTGTAATCCATAGCAAAACCCAGACCGACATCAAGGAACGGGTTTGCTAAGATTGGCAAGGGATCGTACTGCTTGGTAAAATGACTGACCCGGATCTCTACTATCAACAGTCATGAAGATTCCGAGAAATTCTTGAAACAAATCGACCAGAACTACTCAATGAAAAACCGCCGTCCTTCGGCATGACAATGCCAGGCCATATGCGACTTTGGCTAACTGACAAATAGTCAGAGAATTCGTATAGGAGATCCTAGTGTATTGACCGTATAACCTTGGATCTTGCACCATCCGTCTATTTCAGTCCCCACATAGCTTCATTGTGTTAATTAGGTTTTACAACGACGGGATTATGGCTCTACCAGAAAGACGGCGGAAGGTCATCGACCAAGATGGCGTGTGTTTAGTTTAGATGTCCTATGATATAATATAAAAGACTTTTGTTTCAATTTTAGCTTTCAAACGGTCGACACTTTTTCTTGACATTCCGACCTATGACCACGCTATAAACAGTATTCAAAAGCTATCTCGGATAGCCTACTCGGAGCTGATAGGCTTTCTATCAATGGGCGACATTGTGTGTCAAATATTTCTTCAGAATAATAACAATGAAATCCCCGCCAAAGTCAATTTAAAGCGTTTTCTTTTTAGAGACCATAGCCTAACATATATGGTCCAGCAGGTAAGTTGGTCTTCACTGAGATCATTTTAGCGTCCAAGATGTACGTACTTGATCTTGTTACCTCACTATGGAAATACTGCTGGCTTATTCATGTAAAGGCGTAATTTCTTCGGCAATGGATTTTCGTAAGCAACAAAGAAATGTGTGAGCCGGTAAGCAATACGATTCAAATAAGGAAATATATAAAAATTGAGTTTGACATCTTTCAGAGCTGACTTTAGCAACGGAGCCATATAGCGCCATTCTATTACTAAATAGGTAAACTTAGACGATACATACTGCTAGAGCATTTGCCGATAATTGAGGTAATTATTCAGGTCAAGATACGGAGGTTCATTTATGACGCGTACAGAAATAGCACTTTTGAAGAACGTCGATGAGGTTTGTAGTCGTTCTGTTGAAGGCAAATTACCCTAGGTTTATTGAATATTGACACGGTCACTGTTTGTTTTTTTTTTTTTCGCTACCGTTGCCGTTGTGTTTCAGCGAAAGCAATTTAGTAGGCTAAGCAAAGCTTCGCAGATATCCGACCAATATATATAAGCTTGCATAAATGTTATGCGCGCACCTCCTCCTTGACCTTCGAGACTTTGGCTAGAACCCGGCTAAAACCCCAAAGTGTGCACGTAGTGCCTAAGTAAGCCTGTCAAACCGAAAGAGGCTCAGTGACCTTTTTACGCTACGAGCTAAGACGTTTGGCATAGAAACATTCGCTAGCCTAACGCAATACTATATGCACGTACATAAGACAACAATTGTTAATATACGCAGCACAAAAGGCACGTCGATGTATGCAGACCATTAAGCTGGTACGTATTCGGAATTTGTCTAACTCGACACTTAACTACAGCGCAACGGAATCGCAAAACAGTAAATGCAAATATAGAACTTGCCCAGCAGAAGCAACAAAGTAGGATTTTTTTTCATAAAAATTCTTACTAACGATATTATTTTCTCTATCAAAAAGACTAGTTCCAACCGAATATCGTACTTTTCAAAAAAATCTTTTTTCGGAAGATAAGGTTTATTATAGTTCTAAAGTTTTTGGGTCTGTTCGTCCGTTTATGTCTATAAATGTTAACTAAATAGATTTAACTTAGTATCGAAATCGAAAGTTCGGTCGATCGTGAAACTTCTTTAGTGTCTCTCGTATGGCCAAAAATATTTCACGTATATATACATATATGACGACAACGCGTGCGTTCTTTCCGCGTTTGAGATTTATCTATCTATACCTGCCCTCACGGGTTTAGATATAAGCTCCCAGCTTCTCTTTCGTGTTTTGTCTGCTTGATGGTAGGCCGCAAGAGGGCGAATTGTGTAATTTACTACTATTATATGTCTAACAGTCATTGTCGTTTGTTTAGTTAAATTTACCATCGAATTATCGAGTGAATGCGGAATTAGCAAGCAGCATGCGAACTAGTCGAATCTACGTAGAAGGTGACAGAACGGGTGGTGATCTGACAGCAGTTGATTATAAACTGTTTCCTTAACAGCAGCAGTTGAAATAAGCAATCCCAGCTAGAGCAATCTAAGCGCAGCCGTAGAGAGTAAGCAATCCTATATGTTCTCTATTTAGCCACAATGGCCAGACGACCAAACTCATTGGGGCTTTTAAGTGACAAATGGTTCTCTATTTAGCCACAACGGCCAGACGGCCAAGCAGGTTGGGGCTTTCAGGTACCAGGTGGCTTCATTCCCTGCTACAACGGCCAGACAGCCAAACTTGTT